ACTGTACCTGACCAGCAGCCCCTCCAGGCTCCCTAGCAAAAGGCTCCTGAATCCACACACTCCTAAAGGCACAGGCATACAGGGGATTTCTGTAGCCTTCTGTCCTGCAGCTGAAGGAAGAAAGGTGGTGGAAGTTCAGTTTAGGTGCTGTCTGCACAGCAAAGGGTACTTCAACTGCTTGGGTGGCAGGGGTGCCACGCTCAGCACTGCTAACCCCACCAAGGATTTGAGTGCCTATCTCTGTTTGCACTGGATTCCAACCCAAACTTCAATAATAAAAGGATTACACACAATGAAGACATTCCAGAGGTCGATCCTCTCCCAGACCTCCTTCTGCTCCTACCAAGTTCCTTATCCAGAGCTCTAATATAACAGCTCTAATATAACAAATTGAAAATGGATCAACAGCAAAACACAGAGAAGCAGAAGCTCAAAAGGCTTCAGTGCTCACTCTGAAGGGAACTCAAACCCCTGATCAATAACAACATTTTAAGGAGCAAAGTAATTGAGTGGATTATCTTTCTTTTCTTTTTAATAAAGTTGATAAAACTCAAAAGCACCAATAAATCCACCTTCACACAAGAAACAAAGTAAGGAAGAGCTTTCTGAATGGTCCCCGCTTCCTAAAGCAGTCCAAAGTTGCCAAAACTCATCTTGTTTGTAGGAATACTCCGACGAGCAGCATCCTTCCCCAGGGAGGTCTATTTAATCACTTCAGGAATGATCTCTTCCAGACAACAAAGGGCGATTCCATTACTTCATTAAAGCACTGATTATCTGCAACCCAAAACAAGAGTCCCAAATAGACAGATTTACCCAGCTGCCCTGTTCCTCATTATGCTTTGATTTCAGTCCTTCGCACACACACGGCAAGCAAAGGGCAATCAATTACAACCATGTGCTTGAAGGAATTATCTCCACCATATTGGACGTGGAGAAGCAAGGCTCTAAGTGAAGGGTGTAAGATCCTAGACTTCCATCTGGGAATAATAACCTACTGAACAGAAACAGAGCAGGGCATTAGCTTCAGGCACTGTGTGAGCTAAAGCTGGCAGCAGGAGACCAAACTTAAGCAGTTGTTTTGGGGGAAAGTGACATGCATTTGGGTAAAGAGATGCCCAAGAAATATGGCTGTTGTTTAACAGCTATAACAGAGGGATGAAAACATAGCATAATTCCTCTTTAACCCAAAGAGACATGAATGTGCCTCCAGAAAGAAAAGGTGGGCAACTCTAGAGATACTTAAATGGAGTTTGCATTAGAACAGGCACTTACAGGAACAACTCAGCCCTGGTAAGAGGCACTGAACATTCAGCACAGTTGTTCTTCTCAAGCTTTCATGGTTTGAAATGATATTACTTGTTTTCCCACTGTAGTCACACACTGTGCTGCAGGCCAAGAAGCTTCTGGGGAGAAAACTAAGATTTAAGAGCAAATGTGACCAATTTGTGTGAAACAATCCATTAGCAAATGCATAACAGGCTGTTTCCCTCCAAACACCCACACTAGCAGGTGCCAGCCCCTTGGGAAATGGCAACTAAATGCAATGACTCACTAGATGTAGGTGGATACTCACCACACCTGATTAAAACAGAGCTCTACCAAGGAATGGTATGTGGGCCGAATGGGACTGCCACAAGGGAAAAATGAAACCACCTGAAGTCTTGGGAGATGCCCAAGATGAACTTTGTGTGCTATGATCCCTTACTGTGTGTAAAGGTAAAGCAGGAGATAAGACAGAGGAAGCTTGGACCACATGCTGAGAGCAGAGTCCCAGCAGCACATGTTCTCAGTAGCACTTATTTCTCCACAGAAAGCAAACATCTTTCTCTTGGAATGACCCGTGTAAGATGTATTTTAAAGCTAGGAAGTGAAACAAGCAGAGTGAAGACAAGGGACAAGTCTGAATACCTCAGACAAGGTCTGAAGACATACATCATCCTTCTGCAGTCTGTCCTGGCTAGATTGCAACAGCACAAATCCAGCAGCTTAGCCCAGTGAGGCTGGAAACACAGCCTCAACCTGCTCTGGAAATCACAGAAGAAACCCTCCTTCTAGGAATACAGTATCTAAGAACCCAGGAAATCCAAGCACGCTGGGGCCTGGTGTTCCCTGTCAATGACTGCTTACACATTGGTTTTGTATGAACTGCTACCTCTCCACCATAAAACACAGCAGAGCTGTGGCTAGAGGGGTAGCCCAAAAACATTCTCTACCCTGTAGGGGGGGGACAGAACAGCCTCTTAAGGAACTGCTGTATGAGAAGCTGATGTGTCAGACCTGAGGATTGTCCCTCCGCATCATATTCATCCGCTTAGTCTGCAGTGCAAGCTCAAACAGTGCAACAGGCACAGCACTCAAAGACACAGTTTCTAAGGAGAACTTTGTGATGTGAAGTATCCAGCAGCTTGGTGTCACCTAGGAGCAGTGTGCTTGGACAGAACCCCATCAGAGTGAACAGACACCATTAAGGTCAATTGAAGAATGGTTTTTTGCACACTGGCTACAAGATGAACACTGTTACTGGAAGGTGGCTCCATTATAAATCTTCTCATGTAACAGAAGCCATCATTTCCACAAGATACACAGTACTGAAGGCTGCCAACTCACTACTTACTGTTTTGCTTAATACAGCAATGCTTTTAAATGAGCCTGAAGTATTTCACAATGCTGGAAAACCTCTGTTGTCACTGGCTCTGGAATCTGAAATGACACTGATAACTCTGTCCTGGAACTGACACATCGTGCGCTCCTTTCCCCGTGCCACAAGCTGCCAAAGCAGGAGACTGGTGACACCTTTAATCATAGAATCCCAGCCTGGTTTGTGTTGAAGGGACCTTAAAACTCCTCTAGACCCAACCCCTGCCACAGGCAGGGACACCTTCCACTAGAGCAGGGTGGTCCAAACCCCTGTGCTGCCAGGGATGGGGCAGCCACAGCTTCTCTGGGCACCCTGTGCCAGCGCCTCAGCACCCTCACAGGGAAGAGCTTCTGCCTCAGCCCTACTTCTGCCTTCACAGTGGGTACATGGTATTAGTTTCTAGCTCTATAGAAACTTGTAATTTCATGGAAATTAAACCCCCTGCAATTGCCATCTTGTTCCCACTAAAACCTTCCTATCCTTCAGCCTCCCAGATGGCTTCAGCAGATGTTATGTGGGTAATTGTTAACAGTAATTCCCAACCTGAAACGCTGGCACGAGCAGCAAGCAGCAGTCAGGGAAGCTGTGACCCCCCCTCCAATCTCCAAGTAAAAATTAAGCTTCTGTTGTCAAAACATAAAATCCAGTTGTCTCATTAAGGAAACTAGAGTTCAACTACTAGAACAAATAAGCATGTTTCTATCCAAATCTCTGTTGTAGGTGAAGTACAAATCACTTCCAATTTCAAGCATGAGGAACCCTTCCAATGGCCAGGTTAATTTCTTTAGCTTTGCAAATTCCTTCCAAAGAACGCCCCAATTTTCACACCACTCAGCACAATGTCAGGCTCCCTTCTCCTCATTTTCTGACACATTTTTGAGACCAGAACATGCACCAAAGCACAGGATGCTGACAGATGTGCTTATCCCATCTGAGCACACCGCGAGCCACAGCGTCCCCATCATTTCTGGCTGATGACTCCAGAATGAAGTCTTTGTGAGGATCCCTCCCTCTAACAATGTCTTGCCTATAAAGCTTGGACTGGCCACCTGAAAGATGAAATTGAATCTAATCTTGCTTTTTACTTCCATAGGATATATTGCAACTACTTGTACCACATGCTGGACAGGTTCATGTAAGCCTGAGAGCACCCTGCACCACGCTTTCCCTCCAGCAATGAAACCTTCCTAAAGGAGTTATCATATCCAGCCATGACTTCACTCTCATCTGATCAGAGAGGGCTTTAGAAAGACAACCCTGGTTCCATAAACATCCTCAGTTTCATCTTAGTGTATTAAAGAACCTGTTGGTCCTGGTCTGCTCTGCACCTGGGGGGTAACTGCAAACCTCTCCACAGCACATGCAAAATTCCCTTCTTCCCGTAAGTTCAGATACCAGAAACAACTGTTACTGACAAGAGGAGGTGGGTATCTGTGAAAATAATGGATGAAGAGCAGCAAAAATGGGACACCGTAACACAAGTGTGAAGATCACACATTTGGACAGGCTACATTCACCTCGAGCCACATCTTAAAAAGAGCAGAGACTCTAGCAAGAAAAGTACCTGTCAACCTGCTTTTGTTAGCACTGTGATAGCCCAGTAACATGATGAACTAGAGCTAGAGACATGGTTTATCTCCAGTTTTGGGCAACACGAAGCAGCAATGACATTTGTTCTCCTTTTTCATGGTCATTAGGCATCTCCAGTAAGAGATGCCAGGGATAGGGCAGCCACAGCTTCCCTGGGCAAGTCACCCAGACAGCTTCCTACTGCTGCTTTAAAAAAGACACTGCCTAATCTACATTTATCTTACACTCTATTAATTCCTTCGCTTTACACCTCCTTAACAAGGCAGGGCCTAAAACAAGCATCCGAGGATGCCCCTGAAGCAGCACATGACTCCCCATCACCTGCTGCATTTCAGTTTGCTAGCTCCTGTCATTTTACTGAAGATGTGAAAGTTGCTGCAGTATATATAGATATTTTGAGAGGGTTCAGTCTTGAGGGAATGGAAAAAGCAGATGGTTTAAGACTGAACTTACTCAAGATCACAGAGAACACAGGTCCTTTCAGGACAAAGACACCATTAATATCTTAAAGGGGGAAGGGAGGCAGGAAAGCACCTCAGCAACTGCCTTTGGCATCAGCTGACAAATTTGATCATGTTTCCTATCATGGAATCACAGTGGATACACTTCCCAGCAGCAGCTCAGTGGCTGCCTACCCGTCCCCCTCTG